ATTTTAGTGCTTGCAAGTACTAAATAAGCTACCATGGCTCCAAAGAAAGCTCCTAGTGCCAAGCCTGTGGTAAAGGTGAGATATACGATTGAATTTAAGAAAACCATCATTGAACAATATGAAAGTGGTACAAGTGTGGACGAACTGTCCAGGATGTATAAGAAACCCTACACAACCTTATGTTCCATAGTGGCCAAGAAAAATTAAATAAAAGATGCTGTTGTTGCAAAGGGAGTAACTATGCTGACAAAAATGAGATCACCAGTACTGGAAGAGGCTGAGAAGTTATTATTTGTGTGGATAAATGAGAAACAATTAGCAGGAGATACTCTTATGACTTCGTTTATTTGTGAAAAGGCTAGGCAGTTGCATGAAGATTTGGTAAAGAAATTGCCTGCAAATAGTGGTGAAGTGAGTGAATTTAAGGCCAGCAAAGGCTGGTTTGAGAGATTTAAGAACCGTACTGGCAGCCGGGCTGTGGCTTGTACTTTGGTTTGCGTGCAGCCAGCAGCAACAGCCTGGTTGATCAGGCTCTGATCCACCAGGAGGCCTGGTCACAGACCGGGCCGCGGGGGCGTTGACCCCCGGAACTCTCTCCAGGTAAACTCCAGGCATACACAGTGTGGTAAGGCATGGTGAGGCTGCCAGTTCAGACCACAAGGCAGCTGAAAAATATGTGCATGAATTCCAGGAGTACATAGAGGCTGAAGGACTGAAACCTGAACAAGTGTTCAATTGTGACGAAACAGGCCTCTTTTGGAAGAAAATGCCAAAGAGGACCTTCATTACACAAGAGGAAAAGGCAATGCCAGGACACAAGCCTATGAAAGACAGGCTGACACTAATGTTCTGTGCTAATGCTAGTGGGGATTTCAAAGTGAAGCCATTACTAGTGTACCATTCTGAAAATCCCAGAGTGTTCAGGAAAAACAGTGTTATGAAGAGTAAATTGTGTGTGTTTTGGAAATATAATAGTAAAGCATGGGTCACGAGGGAAATTTTCGTCGAGTGGTTCAATGAAGTGTTTGGCCCTAGTGTGAAAGAGTATCTCCTGGAAAAGAAATTGGATCTCAAGTGCCTGCTAGTAATGGACAATGCACCTGCTCATCCTCCAAACTTGGATGACCTAATTTTCGAGGAGTTTGGGTTCATCACAGTAAAGTTCTTGCCCCGAATACCACTCCTCTCCTCCAACCCATGGACCAGCAGGTTATTGCAAACTTTAAAAAACTCTACACAAAAGCAATGTTTCACAGGTGCTTGACTGTGACCACAGACACTCACTTGACCCTAAGGGAATTTTGGAGAGAACACTTCAGCATCCTCCACTGCATAACCCTTATAGGTATGGCTTGGGAGGGAGTGACTACCAGGACTTTGAACTCTGCCTGGAGAAAATTGTGGCCAGATTGTGTCGACAAGAGGGATTTTGAAGAATTTGGGACTGACCCTAATGAGCCTATGTCTGTTGTAAAATCAATTGTGGCACTGGGGAGTTCCATGGGGTTGGATGTGAGTTTGGAGGATGTGGAAGAATTGGTGGAAGACCACAATGAAGAGCTCACCACTGAGGAGCTGCAAGAGCTTCAGCAGGAAGAGCAACACATCGCAGCTCAGAATCTTGCTGCAGAGGAGGAGGAAGAGAGATGGAAAAAGGTGCCTTCTTCAGAAATTAAAGAGATATTTACTATGTGGGGTAAGATGGAAAGCTTTATGGAGAAACATCACCCTAACAAGGTTGTTGCAAGCCAGGTTGGCAACATGAACAGTGACAAAGTCTTGGGCCATTTTAGGGAAGTCTTAAAGAGACGCCAGAAACAGAGCTCTCTCCACAGTTATTTTGTGAGACAGGACTCCAGTGACTCTCAAGGTGGTCCTAGTGCATTAAGAAACAGAAGAGAAGCAACCCCAGAAAAGCAAATGGTACCTGAGGTGTTGATGGAAGGGGATTCCCCTTCCAAACTATAAACAATCCACTTCTGGGTGTCAGGAACGGATTAATTGTATTTACATTATTTCTTATGGGGAAAATTGATTCGTAAATCGTAAATTTCGTTTATAGTAACGGCTCCAGGAACGGATTAATTACGAACAACGAGGGACCACTGTATGTATATATATGCAAACAATCGCAGAAAGGCGATTTTAACTATGCAAGAAAAGCCACGGGGGAGGGGAAATCCTTAGCTCAAGTACTTTCACACTTCTCAGTGCGTCATCAGGAGCTATGCAGTGTTGCAAGGTTGCAACTGAAGGAGGGGAAGTTTTTCTTAGAATAGCACAGAGTGGGATTTTCGCCTCCTCCTGGCTGGCCACATTCTGAGAGAGCCAGGAGACAAAAATCCCACTCTCTGCTATTCTGAGAAAAAACTTCTCCTCACTCCTTCGGTTGCAACCTTGCAACATTGCATAGCTCCTGATGATGCAATGAGAAGTGTGAAAGTACTTGAGCTAAAGATTTCCACTCCCCCGTGGCTTTTCTTGCATAGTTAAGATCGCCTGTCTGCGATTGTTTGCATGTTATATATATATATATATATATATATATATATATATATATATATATATATATATATATATATATATATATTATATATATATATATATTATATATATATACATGTATATGTGTCGTGCCGAATATGTAAAACTGGTCAATTAGCAAGAACTCATTTAAAATTAAGTCCTTTCTGAAATTTTCTCTTATACGTTTAAAGATATATTTTTTTTCATTAGTGTTAATGTAAAAAATTTTAATTTTGCACCAAAAGAAACTTAGAAAACTTACCTAACCTTATTATAACAAGAGCAATTTATTTTAGCCTAACCCAACTAAATATATTTTAGATTTGTTTACAATAATTTAATATTAAACAAACACAGTGAAATATATTTTTTTCGTTAGGTTCAGAATGATTTTGGCGAAATTATTGCATACACAAATTTTCACTTGTCCTATATGGCAAGATGAACGTTGCTATTTAAGCCAAGATGGCAAGTTCTGCCTATTCGGCACGACATATATATATATATATATATATATATATATATATATATATATATATATATATATATATATATATATATATATATATATATATATATATACGTATATATATATCTGTATGTATTACTATGAAAGCCAATTACTGTATATATTTCAGAAAAATAGTTTTCCTTGTATAAGTATTGTTTAGGGAAAATAAAAGGTATTTAGTATTGTATTTAACTTGATTTGCTTCAGGACTTTAAAAAGTTTACATATTAATCAAGCATGCTGTGTCATAGCCCTGGATTTTGTTAATGTTTAAATATGTCAGCTGTTTTACTGTTTACTTCCATCAGCTGTTCGTGCATGATGCCGCCTTTGATGTCATAATAAACTTCTAACATTCTCAAATTCCATAATGTTGCTATAGTTATCTGTATTTAGCGGATGTTATGGATTTATTTCATTTATCTTCAAACGTTCCCATTTCTTTTAAATATTTGTTTTACCTCCCCCCCCCCCATGATGTATATTGTATTGTCAAAAGTCTGAGATTCAGACAAGGTCTCGTAACATCCTCTTAAATATGGAATAATTATAATTTTAAATTCACATGTAGAGATTCATGTGGAGATAACTTTGTTAAATAAAAACAACTTTCATGCTGGTTATATATATATTATATATATATATATATATATATATATATATATATTATATATATATATATTATATTACATATATTTTATATATATATTATATATATATATATTATATATATATATATACTCTTCCTTCTACATGAAAATACAAACCTAATTTTGTACTTGTAGAAAACAATACAAAAATTGCCTAAATTATCTTCTTGTAGAGAACACTGGATCTTAAATTTCAAGACTTAATGTTGTAGAAGTGTCCGTAATAAGATATGTATCCTAAATTGTAGATCAATTATTGTCAACATTAATAAGATCCCTAAGTCTTTAAATATATTGTTTTACCTCAGTCTCTCCTCCTTGAACTACATCCTTCACCTTGGTTAATACTTACTCTCTCTCGCACTTTTTACCGTCCTTGGCCTGCTCTGCTCCTTCATATCCTGCCCTGATTTTTCATAACTCGGGCAATTCATATCCTTCCTTGGTCCTCCATAATTTTCCTGGACCCTTCGTAACTTGCCCTGACCCTTCATAACCTGCCCTGACCCTTCGTAACCTGCCCTGACCCTTCATAACCTGCCCTGACCCTTCATAACCTGTCCTGACCCTTCGTAACCTGCCCTGACCCTTCATAACCTGCCCTGACCCTTCGTAACCTGCCCTGACCCTTCATAACCTGCCCTGACCCTTCGTAACCTGACCTGACCTTTCAGAACCTGCCTTATCTCCTCGTAGCCTTACGTGATCTTCTACAACCTGACCTGGCTCTTCGTAACCTGCCCTGGATCTTTATAACTTGATCTGGCCCTCCGTAACTTCCTCAGACATCATAATTTATTCCGAACCACCTTTCTTTAATCCTCTCTGACCTGCTATGACCCTCTTTGGATATGCTGACTCATCATGACTTGCTCTTTTTTTTTCCTTGACTATGACAATATGTGATAGTTGCTGACTTTCCCCGACAAATCTAATCTTTATTTTCTTAGCTAACTTTCATTCCTCCTGGCTAGCTGTGACTCTTCTGAAGTATTCTGGCCCCTCTCTAGTAATCCCTAATTGTCCCTCGAGCTTTTCTAACCTTTCTTAAATCTTGACTTATGCTGGCTAACTCTAATCGACCTAGACCTGAACTGACCTGCCTTAACCTTCCTTGAACTGCACTTACCTACTTTAATTTGCCTTAACTTGTGTCGACCTCTAACCCTCCTTGGCCTGTGCTGACTTACAGCATCCCTGCCCAGGAAACCACATCTTCCTTAACACCTTCTTCTCCTTCATCGTCCCGTCCCCCGACCCTCATTTTGCTTCTTCCTAACGTGACCCACTTTTGGCGTCTCATGCTCCACCAGTTCAGCATCATAGAGTTCGAGCACGACACCCTGAGGATCCTGCTGGACTACCTGCACACGGGGTCCTGTCCGCTCACTTGTACCTCCATCCCGGGTCTCATCTGCGCCGCCGAGCACTACGACCTACCCGAGCTGCTGCAGGCTTGCTTCCATCACGCCAAACAGTTCCTTAGAATTGAAGTGGTGAGTTGAGGAAAGGCGAGGAAACGAAAGCGTTTACTCGAGGTGATTCTTAAACAGGAGAAAATTGTTGAGTGTGTTGAGGGGATAGGAAGAAGTGATGGCATCAGTTAAGACGGGTGCAAATTATTATTATTATTATTATTATTATTATTATTATTATTATTATTATTATTATTATTATTTTATTTTATCCGGTTAACCGGATTTGTGTCCTGGAATTGGAAGGGCAATGCCTGAAGTCTGAAGAAGGGAAATAACTGATTGTGATGTCAGTAGACTTCTGGCAAGAGAGCGATTGAATGAATGATGGTGAATGTTTCTATTTTTTATTAGGTCAACCTGCCTTGGTGAGAGGAGGACGCCGATGAGGTAAATATTTTATTAATTATTATTATTATTATTAACCCCTCGATGGTGGTTTCTTAATGCTGGTGAGGGGCTCTTGATCTAGGGAATTGGATCTGTGCTCCAGTTCCCTGAATTGAGCCTGAATACCTTCCATCCCCCATGCGCTGTATAATCCTACGGGTTTAGCACTCCCCCATGATTATAATAATAATGCCCTTTCCATTACAATTACCTTGGCCAAGGTAATTAACAAGACCATGGATTTTGGTGTTGGTATGACAAACATAGAGTGATCTGACCTTCCCTCCCCACCACGAGCAATATCTCTTGACAGATTTACCGAGAAGCTGACTAAGCAGCGTCTTAGCCCCAACTACTACCTGACCCGCAAATCGTTAACTATTTATTTCTTACCCCTTCGTGAGTCACGTCACTCTTTGTAACGTATGATGCTTTGTGGTCGTTGGGTCTTCCCACGAGACCACAAATATTTGCATATTACAGAAACTACTGCATTACGATTCTGAAGTCAAAATGCAGTTATTTTAAGTTATATTTACTTTAATATATTTTTAAATACATTATTTGACGTGTTCGCAAGCGGGCCAACGGCAGTCATACGGTCTGTGGTATATGTCTGCGTTCTTATCTTAAAATTTAATTTTTACTAGTAAAATAGCTGACAGCAGCGAGGTGCCCCTGCAGGAACCTTCCTAAATGTTGTCTCAGTTAAGGCTCCTGGACCTTTAAATCCGCTAATGAGCCAGTTATTTAATATCTTTATTACACACCTCATACCCATTACAGAGGCTCAATGGGTCCAGGGACTGGGCCCCAAAATTTTGATAGCTGAAGTTACAGTGGTAATGAACTATTTACATATTTATATCTGGTTATAAGATGGTGTGTTTTGTGTTGAGAGAAATAAAGCCGGACTGACCCTCTTTTCTTTCCACAGGTGTGTAACATGCTCACCAGTCTGGAGAACTACTACTGGCGCTACACCTCTGCCTCAGAACTAGTCAATATGATTCTCGCCTTTGTCGAGACTAGAGCCATCCAGGTGAGTTCACCCTACTCATTTTTTTTATGTGCTTCAACTACTAAAAAAAACAGGACACACAATATTATGTAACAACCTAAGAAGCTACCCGGCTTTGTTGATATTGTCCCCTCAAGGAAGGTTCCTTGATGTTGGTGAGGGGCTCTTGATTTAGGGAATTGGATCTGTGCTCCAGTTCCCCGAATTAAGCCTGAATGCCTTCCACATCCCCCCCAGGCGCTGTATAATCCTCCGGGTTTAGCGCTGCCCCCTTGATTATAATAATAATAATGTTGATATTGTGCCAAGGACAACACATACCTCAGTTTGTTGTGCAACCTAAGGAAAATAAATATAATTAAGAGGCACATAAGTTCCCACGTCTTCTAATAACATGTTCATTTTCTCCACTGTAATCTACATTGTCCATAATTATTATCACATTTGCTTTGTATCGTAAAGTGAAGTCTGGGTGAAGTCAAAGATTTGTTAAGTTATACCATGAATTAAGGAAAGATCCTGGACTTCACCTTACGAAACAGACAAAGCAAATGCGACAGTAATTATGGATAAGGTAGATTATAGTGGAAAAATGAACATGTTATTAGAAGACGGAGAACTTACGTGCCTCAAATATATTTATTTTCCTTATAACCCAAAATAACAATTTGTACTAAAAATTATTACTTATTCTCTGATGTACATACGTTCTATATATTTTATTTATTATTATCACACTGGCCGATTCCCACCAAGGCAGGGTGGCCCGAAAAAGAAAAAATTTCACCATCATTCACTCCATCACTGTCTTGCCAGCAACCACCCAGGGAAGTAGTACTACCGTCCTGCCAGATGACTGTGAAACAGAAACCTGTAACTGTTTTGCATGATGGTAGGATTGCTGGTTTCTTTTTCTTTTTCTGTCTCATAAACACACTAGATAACAGGGATATCTTGCTACTCCTACTTACACTTTGGTCACACTTCACAGACACGCACATGCATATATTAATTAATATAATATATATATATATATATATATATATATATATATTTATAATATATACATCTAGGTTTTTCTCCTTTTTCTAAATAGCTCTTGTTCTTCTTTATTTCTTCTATTGTCCATGGGGAAGTGGAAAAGAATCTTTCCTCCGTAAGCCATGCGTGTCGTATGAGGCGACTAAAATGCCAGGAGCAATGGGCTAGTAACCCCTTCTCCTGTAGACATTTACTAAAAAAGAGAGAAGAAAAACGTTCTATATATTTTTTTTTATTCGCCGGTACTCTCTCGGCCCGGGTCTTTTCCAAGAGTGGTGACCCGGTCTTGGCACCCTGTCTGGGGAGTATCTCAAGACGTAAGTCTCCCATGGGAGGAGACACAAGTACCCCTCATCTTTGGGACCAACTGTCCCCAGGCCTAGCCACATTCCCCGCCCTCACCGGGCTCGTAGGGAGAAGCTAGGCCTCTGGTCTGCCATCTACCCCGCTTCAAAGGGGCTTGTGGGGATGGCAGTCGTATGAGCTGCAGGTGGTAACAAGATCAGGCCTTTCCTCTGGAGTGTAGAATAATGACCAAGATGTACGAGTAACTAGGCTGTAAATAAGTTATTACAAGAACCACAATGGAAATAAGTCACTTCGTCTGACTTTTATTTTAGATGGGTTATCCTAGGTAATTTTCACATATATTACTATGTAATTGTAGTTATCTAAATTTGTGAAACTGTACCTATGTGTACCTGTATCTAAATAAACTTACCAAAATATAATAATGGCAGCTGTTCCCATTTTCTTTGGAATGACCACTATGCCCATTTTCTTTGGAATGAATAGAGATTATACTGCTTCAAACACTCGCTTTTTCTGGTCCTTTACCTAAATTTATTATGTAAGTTTTTATTTAGTTTTATGTACACAGCAGGCATTTCAATATCAGTCAATAATATCTTCAATGTCATGGGTCAAATACTTCATTATTTTTGACGAAATATATTTAAAACATTCGCTTTCTTGGAGGTGTCAAGATCCTAACCCATATTTTCCCTTATATTATTCATATTACATAATGCAAAATTGCGTTATGTGAGATTTCACTCTGTTTACTATGTACTTGATATTTGAGCCTTAGTGGAGGATTTGAACGTATGTACACCAATTTTCACATATTGACCATTTGGGGCAGCGCCCCCTACGCTACTCTTGGAACAAGACAGAAGTATGCTCCTCTAAATACTTATTTGTATTTATTTCAACTTATATTAATCAAATGGAACGCTAAACCCGCAGGGGGTCATATAATGCCTTGGGAATGGGATCCAAGGAATGGGAGGATAAGTTCAATTCTTTGAATCAAGATCCTGCACCACCACCGGCACCACCACACTTTCCATGAGGAATGTCTGGTTGTAGTTACAGGAGCAAAGCTAAGCTCGTGGTCTCCTGTCTTCAGCATTCAGTCTACTGCAATTTTTTTCGAAGTTTCTAGTGATTGTAGAACTTGCTAGTGAACCTGTAAACCATTTCATTATTCTATCAATCTATGCAGAGAAAAAATCTAGTAACCTTTCTGCAGCTCTCCTTTAGTTATATCTATGGCCTCTTGTTCTGCTTAATTGATGGGGCTAAGAAGTCTTTTGAACTTTTTTCTGTCCTCATATAATCCAAAATGTGATTATTATGTCTCCATATATTTACGGATACTTTCATTACTTGGGTAATCTTGATTGGTCCTCAAGCTGCTTATATATATTATTACAGACGTGTGATACCTTAAAACCTGGAATATGGGTAATAATTGTATCTAGACCACAATTCACTGGAGTTCATGGAGTTAAAAAAATACATGTTATGAAGAAAAACCAAAAACTGTATAAATAACCTTGTTAACTGATAGGCAGAAAAAGACATTTTATCACTCTCATTGCTTCTATACTTCCCTCACTATCCCCATAACTCTTTCATTTCCATACTTCTCTCACACTGCATTCATGCCCACCTCACTACCTCCATACCCTTCTCACTGCCTCCATACACTTCTCACTGCCTTAATACCTCTTGCTGCTTCCTACGTCTCTCACTGTTTCCACGGTTCTGCTTTCATACTAATCTTCATATCATGGAGTTCTCCACTACAGGTTTCAACTCTTTCCTGGTGTTCCTTGATGCAGGTGTTCCAGAGCCCTGACTTCCTCCAGCTGTCGGAGTCGATGGTACACATGATGATGGCAAGGAACCTGGAGGTAGCGGAGATCACTAAGTTCGAGGCGATGCTGGCATGGGCCAAGAACCGAGTCAAGACCAAGGGAGGTTCTAAGGTAGATTCGCGTGTCGAGTTCCGCTGCATCATGGAGAGACTTACCCGGGAGCTTAAACCTTATAGGATATCTCCTCAGGATCTCATTAAGGTTAGCAGGATATGTGTGTGTCGAATTAACATGACCTCTTCCTTCCTGTTCTTTCTCTTAAAAACTACAGTTGTCCATTCATTCAAGAAAATATTGTAACTCATGCTTTACTGTTTCTCCATTCTAAAATATTATTTAATGGGAATTTTTAATCGACTTTCAAATAGTCTACCCTATCTACTTTTTCTCTCCGTCTGTCATATAAATTTGATCGTGTAACAAACCCACTAAGGTTGTGTTCGACTTTTCAGATCGTGTTGCCGAGTAAGGCCATCAAGAATGAGAGGATCCTAGAGACACTCATGTTTCAGGCAAACTCTGGCATGTACAGAATCAACGACTCATATCTAGAGGCCTGTCAGCAGCGACTTCAGAAGCAGGATTCCAAGTTTAGTGAGTGGGAATCCTTTGACTATGGTCTATAGCACCAACAGGCCCTTCGGCAGTCTGGACCCGGTTCCTGAAGAGTCCTACAATAGTGTGGACATGGAGTTTGGTAACTTGTGGTCGATTCATTGCCACAGTAAGGGCTTCAAACCCATTGAACTGACTTTAGGCACAAGGGTAGATTTCAAACCCCTTGGGCTCTTGTTTGCCCATGAGAATCTCCATCCCATCACTTTAAGATCGACTTGTGTGGGACTCGTGCCTCGGTGGTGTACCTTTTATCATGTGTTGAGAACCATGAACCATAACTGGTGGGAAGCCCTCTTATGCATGATCTGATATGATCTTGACTTCTGAGGAGTGTCTTCTGCCAGTAGTTCCTCTCATGATTTCTGAACACTTAATTGAAATCTAGAGCTGTTGTCTGCAGTGGCCAGTGAGAGTGGTCAAGAAGCCTAGTGAGAGTAGTCGAGAAGTAGCATGGTGGGAGTAGTCGAGAAGTAGCATGGTGAGAAAAGTCGAGCACAGTATGGTGAGAGTTGTTGAGCAGCAGAGTAGTGAGAGTGGTGGAGCAGCTGTGTGATAAGCAGCTGATCAACCGTGTGCTGCATTGCGTTGTATAATGAAGTTTATCATGCGAGTGTTGAGACGAGCCAGAACTGATGCAGTCTTCGCACACTGGAAAGGACAAGCTCAACTACAATCTTCTCCATTTCTTTTGTAATGGACCATTACATTAAAAGATCATAAAAGATCATCCAGTTAACAAATATTTGACTTTTCTTCATAGATTTTATGGCAGTATACAAATAGCACAGTTCTGCCCTCCACCACATCGCTCCCAGTGTGTCGGAGTCATTATAGATAACAAGAAGTGAAGATGAGAAGACTGCAGGGTGCAGCAATAGAATCTTCAGCTAAATTATTAAGCAATTATCCATCCTAATACCAGGTGGTATAACTTACCATCATCCTTACACCAGGTGGTATAACTTACCATCATCCTCACACCAGATGGTATAACTCACCACCATCCTCACACTAGTGGTAACTCACACCGATCTAACATCAACCAGTGGTACAACTCCCACTTCTTACAAAGGGGGTACAGCTCACCTCTCACATAGGTAGTAACAACTTGCCACCAATATCTTAATATTTGTTAGGGAACTCTTCACACAGATCTGAACATCACATGGGTAATGCCGTCATTCAAATTTGTAAAAAAGTTTATTGCCAAAAAATACAAATGTAGAGGATGAATGCCACAAGAGCCACACACAGTCAGAAAAGAACGGTAAAGTGCACAGTGAAGCGCCTTTAGAGTACATCTGGCCAAAAGCAGACAATCCCACAGACGACTTCATTATTATTATAATCAAAAAGAAGCGCTAAGCCACAAGGGCTATACAGCTCAGACGACTTCATAACAGTGACTAGTCAGTTGCCAGAAGCTCTTCGCTCCTTTGGTAAGGCATCACAGTTGTTAGTATTTTACCTTGAGAGATCTGAACATCTGATAATATAAATTTAACTTTCATTAGTAATTTTTGTACTGATGACTGATTTAAAGCAAAAAAAAAAAAAAATACACATGGCTCTCTCCAGTTGCTTATATTAATGAATGTAGTAAAAAAGATGTATTATATTCAGCGACAGATTTTGTTTTGTGAAGGTTTTTGACATACCAAATACTCTACAAATATAAAAGTAGTGAGAGAGAATGACTGTAACTTGTCATGTGGTGGGCGGAAAAAGAGACTTGTGAGGCTATATAGAAAGGTTAGGTGGTCAGAGCCACTTTCCTCTAGGCCCATAACAAACACTCCTAACACTTCACACATGGCTGACTGATCCTTTATCACAAAGTGCTTTTTAAAGCTGACTTACCCTAAAAATAAATTTGCTAGTTGGTATTTCAGCCTTAGAGTCAACAGATGATGCGTTAGTCTCATGGGATAGGCCGTTGTACGTGACGTACTACCATTACACTACCTCCAGAAATAATTAGGTATCAAAATAAGCCCAGAAGAACTAGAGATGAGTATTTAATATGTGAAAATTAATGTTATAAGTGTCTCTACATTTCTAAAGCAACTCGTCGCAATTCTTTGAAGATCTGGAATATCACCAAATCAAGTTGCTTGCTTGTAAAACTGGAAATCAGTCTCAGTTTCTGAAGTGTCTTGTTATGAAGTGTGTTACCATGGTGAGTGCTCGGCAACTTGCCAGTGTGTAAAAGAAACTCAAGAGTTTTGGAGGGCAGGTTTTGACATTTGCAATGTTTTCCAGAGCTGGTTTTCATGATAGTAGCCTCTATTTGAAACTCACTGGAGAATTAATCAGCATCTTAGATGCTGAAGTCTCCACACACTCATTAGACCAGAATAATATATTATATTATTATTATATATATATATATATATATATTATATATATATATATATATATATATATATATATATATATATATATATATATATATATATATATATATTATATATATATAAATATATATAATATTTTATATATTATATATTAAAGCATATGATTTTAGTGATTCACTAAATGTAAAACACTCAGGTTTAAATTACTGTATACTAGACAAAAATCTTAGTAAATTGAGATGCAGTCAATAAGGTCTGCCATTTATGCTGAAATATCATATTTTTGGTTTTAACATCAGAAGGATTATTTTCAGGCCTACAAAAATTAAACTTCCAGTGACTTTGACAAAATATTCTACAGCTCTCGTCGTTAATACTTCACGCTCAATGAAGAACAAAAATATTGATAGGCAGATAGATATCATGTTTTTAAACGAATTGCGTTAGTTTAAAAAAGTTGACTCTCCTCACAAGAGTGGTCGCATATAGTCCCACAGGGAGTGACTCTCAACTCCTGGTGATCTTGGCGTAACTTGTCATTATCACACACTTAACGTGACTGTTAAACCCTGGCCAGTCAAGTCTTCTCTGCGCCAGTGCTCCGGTTTCTGTGTCCAGCATTCTGAGAAGTAGGTGTGTGCCAGGGTAGGGGCAACGGTGCGTATGTCTATTTTAATAACAGCGGTATCAGCCTATAAACTGAGCATCAGCATAAGTCAGTTTTGATAGTATTGGTATCAGCTTAAACTGAGTATTAATATCTGTGTGCTTGCAGTTGAGTATCGGTTTCGGCAAAAAAAAAAAAAAATGATATCGCCTCATTCCTACTCAGAAGTTTTGTATGTTTAACAACACACCTCAAGGGAAGCACGTACCTTGATGTCAGTGAGGGGAATCTTAATCTGAGGAGCTGTATAACCCTTGCGGTTTAGCGCTTCTTTTGATTATAATAACAATTGATCTGAGGAACTGAACCTGTTGCCCCTTTCTTTAGATCAATCCTGATTGTCTCTCCTTCCCCAAGTACTATGTGACCCCTATGGATTTAGCGCTTCCCCATAATAAGGCTGATACTAATATATAATAAAATATTTATTTACGTTATTGTTATCATCGGGAAATGCTAAACCTCTGGGGGGGAGGCCATACAGCATCTGGGATATGGGAGATAATCAGATTTGCCCTGAGAAAAACGAAGGTAACTCCCAATGCTTGGATCAGGAGCCCTTCAGCATCAAGGCACCACCTTTGAAGGTATTTGACTTCAACAGAATCAAAACAGTAACAGTAAAAAACTTGCAGGACCAAAGTTATTACAGAAGTTAAAAGCCAAAGAATTTGAGTAGACAAAGAACTTTTTTAGTATGCATTATTTTAATATGCAACAAAATACAGTATTTCAATATATGTTTTAATTATGCTACCTAGAAAATTAATTGACAGTACAGAAACTACAAATACCTTTTCTCATGCCATGAAAAAATGGCATTTACGTGGACAGTATTTTGTATTATAAATACATTTAAGAGTGGGATAATGCTAAATCCTTAGGAGTTGCAGAGCACATGCAGAAATGGGAGGTAATCAGGTATGATCCAAAGAAGGGAAGGTTTTGGCTAATTTCTTGGATGAAGGGCTCTTTACAACCATCAAGGAACCTTCCTTGAGGGGGCTGTATTTTGCAGCTAGGCTGACTTATAATTGCATGAACATCTTTGACTTTTTTAAAAGTAAATGTGATCATAATTATTATTATTACAATCAAGGGGGAAGCGCTAAACCCGGAGGATTATACAGCGCCTGGGGGGGGATGTGGAAGGCATTCAGGCTTAATTTGGGGAACTGGAGCACAGATCCAATTCCCTAAATCAAGAGCCCCTCACCAACATCAAGGAACCTTCCTTGAGAATGTGATCATAAATAAAGCGTCATTATGTCTCCCGAAGACTATTACAGAATGTACCTTGCCTATGACCAGTCGTCAACCAATCGTAGTGACAATATTCGCAGCTTGAACTGCAAGTATTTACTATATAAGGGCTGCTTCATAGCCAGAATACTGTTTTGGGTTATACAGAATTGATTTGCAGGCCCCAAAAATAAATTTAAGATTTTTCATCTTTTACATTTTGTTTTGATGAACTGGCCCTGGGGTACAAAAAGAAATAATTACAAGAGGTTACATTTGCTACTCTGCGACCGACATACTAGAGGCGTAAAGTGCTCCTACAATATTATATTTATGGGAAAACATTAAACTCATAAGGATCATACAGCTGTTCCTATAAAAGCTTGATACTTTAAGGGCAACCAGTCGTCGGAGATGTGGAGGCCCGTCTCAGCTCGTCGTAATTCGTAACTAGATGACATGCACAGTATCTTGGCGGATTTCAACAATATACTGACTAGTAGTTAACATAAATAAACTTAAGATTATTTACGAGATTCAGTCTTGACACTTAACTTTTCGTGTTCTCTGTGATACTTGACTGTTTGCAAGTGTGGAGTGGATCCTCCTTAGAGTTCAGCAAGGACATGCCTCCTTTACAGTGCTATGGTTCATTCTCCTTGGCCCTCCCCCAAGTCCTTGTCTTTCACCGCACCTTATACAGGCAATGGTGCATATCACTCTAGCTTTATATTTAATCAAAATTTTAAACCAAATTATTTTATACAGTAAAGTAATATGTAATTTTTGTTATATTATTTAATGGCATCCACAGGAACTCAAAGTACTTTGAAGAGGAATCTGAGGTGCAAGGTTAACCCACCACAGCAAGATTTACAAGTCTTGGGGTGGGTGAGGTGCAAGGTTTGAATGGAAGTCTAGGGTGGGTGAGGTGCAAGGTTTGAAGGGAAGTCTAGGGTGGGTGAGGTGAAAAGTTTGAAGTGGTCTGGGGTGGGTGAGGTGAAAAGTTTGAAGAGGTCTGGGGTGGGTGAGGTACAAGGTTTGAAGGGTTCTGGGGTGGGTGAGGTGCAAAGTGTGAAGGGTCTGGGGTGGGTGAGGTGAAAGGGTTTGAAGGTTCTGGGGTGGGTGAGGTGCAAGGTTTGAAGGGTTCTGGGGTGGGTGAAGTGCAAGGTTTGAAGGGTTCTGGGTGGGTGAGGTGCAAGGTTTAAAAGGGTCTGGGGTGGGTGAGGTGCAAGGTTTGAAAGGTCTGGGGTGGGTGAAGTGCAAGGTTTGAAGGGGTCTGGAGTAGGTGAAGTGCAGGGTTTGAAGGGTTCTGGGGTGGGTGAGATGCAAGGTTTGAAGGGTCTGGAGTGGGTGAAGTGCAAGGTTTGAAGGGTTCTGGGGTGGGTGAGGTGCAAGGTTTGAAAGGGTCTGGGGTGGGTGAGGTGCAAGGTTTGAAAGGGTTCTGGGGTGGGTGAGGTGCAAGGTTTGAAGGGGTCTGGAGTGGGTGAAGTGCAAGGTTTGAAGGGGTCTGGAGTGGGTGAAGTGCAGGGTTTGAAGGGGTCTGGAGTGGGTGAAGTGCAGGGTTTGAAGGGTTCTGGGGTGGGTGAGGTGCAGGGTTTGAAGGGTTCTGGGGTGGGTGAGGTGCAAGGTTTGAAGGGGTCTGGAGTGGGTGAAGTGCAAGGTTTGAAGGGGTCTGGAGCAGGTGAAGTGCAGGGTTTGAAGGGGCCTGGAGTGGGTGAAGTGCAGGGTTTGAAGGGTTC